CAAATCTCCGGCCTTTGTCTGAGAACATCCATTGATCGCTTGCCAGCTGCTTCTGAAACTGCTTTATGACTCTTGGATGCAAAACCTCTCGAAGTCCACTGACAATCTCTGAAAGTACATGTTGCAAACTTTTTGCAAGGGAGCACTCGTCTGCTTGACGCCAGGCATCCACTTGAATCCAAAGCGTGTGCCCCTGCAAAATAGGGTTGCCTACCTTGTGAGCGATGCGTATCACAAACGATCCCTCAGGCGCATAAGCCAAGAGTGCAGCATTCTTTCGTTGATCCATGGCAATACCTTCCCTTTCCCCATGCCTCCAGAAGCCGTCGTATTCCAGAAACAGCGCTGCATTCCTATCTTTAAGAACCCCATAGGCTGCCAAATCCGGCTGCAACGAATGCCCACCCCATCCTTCCGTTGCTGGAAAGCTTCGAAACAGCACTCCAACCTCTGTCCGAGGCATCAACAACGCTGCCAGCTCCGACAACAACTCCGCTTCCGCCATGCTATCCGCTCTTCCCCTGGGCCATCCTTTGCGCCACCAGGCCGGCACGTAGGCGAGGGGCAAGACCCAGAAAGAGAGGCTCAACAGTGGGCGCCGCATCTTTCGCAGCTGCGCCCAGGTGGAGAAGGGTGCCAGGGAGTGGCCACCGACTTCGAACCGAGAAATCTGCCGTGATCGAAGTTTGGAGGGATATCCCGCTGAGGAGTAAGGAGTAACCGCCTGCTCTTCCCAAGCCATCAGATGCCATAAATCCTATGTCATCAGAACCCAGTATATACCTTTTAGGGGCCCCTGTGCTAGAAACTCCGGTCCGTGCTCTTGGCACAATTCTTGGTAGCCCAGAAATCGGTAACAAATGGTTTGGTGTGGGAGGGAGAAACATGCAAATATATATTATATATATTAATATAGATTATATATAATAGTTGCACTATGTTGCGCTCTCAAAAACCAGTCGATTTTGGAAGAGCCACTTTGACCTCATTTGACTTCAATGGCATAATATGGTTCTTACATTGACTTCAGGCTCCATCGACCTCCACCGATCTCCACCAGGCCCGCGGATTCGACCAGCTCGACCCGCCTTCACCCGCGGGGGCGGCTCCACGTGGGGGATGAAGGCCGTGGCCATGGCGACGACTTCGGCCGAGAGGTGTGAGGAAGGCCTCAACTTTTAGTGTTTCATTGGGTTTTGCGATGTTTTGGAGTCCCTAAGTCCAAGTATGTCTAGGTGATTCTGACATGGAACCCCCTATATAGTATAATATATCCTCCAAGTTCAGCACCCAAGTCCATGGAACTGCTGGTCTCTGTTCTCGAAACAAAGGCTGGACAGCGGGGCTGGGCTGGGCATCTGATTGAAATAATCTAATGGTCCACTGCTGCATATCTTTTCGGCCTGCTTTTGCACTGATCTTTTATGATGTCTCAGTCTAAAACCTACGTCACCTGAAAACTGATATCAATTCCTTCAGTTGCTCTAACTACCTGCTTCAACTGAAAACACCAGAAACCAAACTTCCTGGTTCAAAGACATCCAATGTTTGGTCTTACAATGTCTTACATCACTAATCCTCGGCCCGGGGTCTCTTCTTCCTGGACCTGTCTATCTTCCCAGGCATTCTTCATGATCCTCTGAGGGCGATCGGCGAAGTCATGGCGAGGACCCTGGTGCGGTCCGGGCTGCTTCAACTGCTCAAGGAAACCCCAGCCAGAACGGCTCGAATCCTTTGCAGGAGTCGATGATGATGTGATGAAACCAAGTGGAAAAATAAACATCCATCTACCCCATGATGGATCATTAGGCACATGAAGCGCACCAACAAAGGCCGCGGCAGGACTTGCACCAAGTGTTTTAATGCTAGAAAAGTACAAACAAGTTTTACCAGCAAAGGCGGTTGTACCCCAAAAGAAGGGAGGCTCTTGATTCTTAATGTGGATTCTTGATGAATAAACCTCTCATATGAAGAGGTTGTTCAATCCAAATGGGAGGGGGTGTATTTATCAATCAAAAGTCTACAGAGTCTACATTACCAGCAAAGCATCAGACCTTGCAGCTTGCAGAGAGAGTCACTCTGATGCTGCGATGTGGCGCGTCGCGCACGAGCTTCTCGAAGCGAGATACGGGGTCAGGAGCTCACAAGGCCCCAGCAGAAGAGGGCCAGTTGTTGGCCGCAGGATGGTTTCTGTAGCAACTGGTAGTTATAGCCATAGCCATCAAAAATGGGTTCAACTAATTGAGGAAGCTATGCTTCATGGTTCATCTTTTCAGCTGCTCGATCATGCACACTGCCATACCACGCGGAGAATCCACTGCCCCAGACCACAGCCTACTACGACATGGTCCGCCACCTAGAAGGATTCCCACTTTTCCTTGCTTACATCAAGTCGGGGTAGAGTTTTGGACTGTTACTTCTGTTACTTCATGGGTGCACAAGCCCAAGCGAAGACAAGCAAACCCACGTGATTATTGTTTTAGTATCTCCCTCAGCGGGACCACAGAATTCCCATGATTTCTTCAGTTGCTTTCATTCGATGTAGTATCATTGCGAAATATGGAATCTAAGATTATGTTAATCTATAAGTTATTCAGCAACAATCACTTTCAGGCGCCAGACATTTCTTTCGCTCTCGGTCTCCTCTGCATCATACAGAGCCCCTGAGGATGAAACGGGCATCTGAAGTCCATTTTGGACGAAACGACACGCAACGAGTAACGCTGAGCTACCACAAGTCACCGAAGCAACGGATCCGCCGAATGAAAGCGACAAAAATGGATTGGATTGCTAAGCGATTGCTCAGGCGATCCTGGAGTTTTGAGATCAAACTGAAAGGTTTCAAGTTCGAACAGCTAGGCATGGTGGGTGGAAAACCTTGAAGCTGCTGGGACGGGAACAGGAGCCTGATGAAGCCTGCAAGGTCCTCTTCGAAACCTCCCCTAGATACTATAGTGGGATCAAATCCAAAGGATGTTCTTGGGTTCGGCGATCTGTACTACGAAGAATGTTGACAGCCTTCAGCAAGCGAGTGGCGGCTGTGTCTCAAGGCAAGGCCATATCTGATCCATGATCCTCCATCAGTCATGTGAATTCAATAAGACCCTATACATCCACAAAAGTGTCCTGTCTCATTTTGCAGCGCCAAAAAAAACACTCTGAATCCTTTCTTGCAAGCAAATGCGAGGAGACGGACACCACCAGTAATCAAAGGACTGGGATGTCATCTCCTGCATATGAACCTCCTATATAACTCTTTGAGACATGCCGTGGAGATGCCCACTTCTCACCGACCCCACGTGCCCCACGTGGTGCCCCACGTGCCCTGGTCGGATGAGAACGGGCCCATCGCTACATCTTGCGGCCCAAACCTGCAAGAGGGCGTTGCTGCCGTATGGGCGGACGCTGCGTATGCAGTGGTTTCTTCGGGCCGTGGAAGAAGCTCCTGCGATGAACACCCCCGCGGCTGGAAAGGGACATCAATGCATACGGCGTGGACCCCTCTGCATTCTTCTCATGCAAAACTTCTATGCAGCCCTTGTGCAAAGACAAGGCCTGACATGGGCCTAATATACTAGTTCGAACTGATTGTTTGGGCTTGTCGTGGATTTACAGCTTTCTCCCCCCCCAATGCGTTTCCCCCATCCCACTGTTGAAGGGATCCTCCTCGCAACACATGGATCTTCTGAAGTTCACATTGAAACAAAGGCCTTCATGTGACACCTTCTTCAGTTCCTTCTGGTTCATGTCTTTTGTTTTGCCTTTTTATGCCTTGGCCTTCACGTGACACATGGTGACCTCATCATCTTGAGAGATGAAAACCGGGTTTCTCACCACTCCCCAAGGTGTTGAAACCGTCCAGACTCTCTGAGTCCCTGTGACCAAAACCTATTCGGAAAGACACTCAAACCGATCTGGGATGAACGGTAGCCGTGGGTGTTTCGCTGAGGGCGTTCGTCTTTTGCTTTATGGTGTTTCAACAGCAGTTCAAGAAGGTTCATCGAAGCCAAGGCAGCCGGTTAGGAGGCTCTTCGCATGGAGCCGGTCATGCCAACTGCCACAGCTTCTGAGGGATGTTGGCACAACGCTTGAAATAGGCCCTCTGAGCTTAGCATTTTGTGAAATGAAAACATCTCAGAGCTTGGCCACCTGAGCATCCACCAATCCAGCTTGCAGCTTGGCGGTACGATTCCACTCGATCTATCAGCTGTTCGATGGCACAGAACGGTGATTCTTACCCTCCCAACAACAATCAGCCTGTTCGTAGACGGAAACAGTCTGTTCGTAGACGGCCATGTTCAATAGATGGAGGGTACCCCTTCTGTAACAAACATGGAAGTGGAAAACCACCTGTTTGTAGTGGAAAATGGTCTTCCAAGGGGCCATTCTCCACTTCCATGTTAGTTCCTGGGAGTGTACCCCTTCTGTCACAAACATGATCTTCTGTCCAACGGTACAGGTCCAACCTCGCAAACCCCGACGAGTAAACCGTCTTTTTCCAACAGGCGCTTCACTGCTAAAGCATGGTCTCTTTCAACCATATGGAGCACGTTCCGTTACATATGTGCCGTAGGAGGAAACGTTTACGAACCAAATCCTCGTTTCGAAGGATATGGGCATCGCTATTCGGTTGAAGGCCATCGCTCTTCGGTTGGAGGCCATGTTCGCTTCAGGATCGATGTCGCCCACCGTTCGTCGGTTTTTGGGGTCCCGTTCCACAAGGGAGACAGACTACCATCACTCGCCTCTTTGGGACAGACTGATCGCCACTCCTTCGCCATTCCTTTTAGACCCACAGTCCAATGGATTCTCCTTGTTCACGGTCCAGTCCACACCACCATGTGAACTTCAACTTGAAAAACATACCTATGTAACTCCTTGCCACCGGTTCCCTTCACCCCAGAAAAAAATGAAGAACTGTCGAATCTCAGCCAGCTTCACACAGTGTCTTTGGCCACCCATTTGGCCGCGCACCGGCGCACCGCGCATCGCCGCGCCTCTCATTTGGCCTTCGACTCCTTGGGCTCCTTATCCGCCACAGCCTGCGTCTGAGCAACACCCGAGCCGAGGCCACGAGCCGCAACGCCGCCCCGAGCCGCAAAAGCCGCGGTTCGCGCCGGTTCATGGAACATGACCATCAGAATTATGATTTGACTGACAGTGTGGACAGGCGGTGCAACCAAGCGGTTGAGGACTGTGTTCTTCTATAACCATGGTTCTGTCTATCTTGCAGCTCAGTTGGTCGCAGCTAGGTGCTTCTGCTGAGGGTCGGGAAGCTATCTTGAAAAGCGTACTTGGAAAATCCTGCAATTGAAAGATATACCCCATCATCCATCACCAAGATCTGAAAGAAAACCCCACAGATGACTGGGAAGACCACTGAGGTGTCGATTTGCTTGGTCTCCATATATTGGGTCGCATGTGTATTAGCAGTAACAGTGGATGATGATGGTTAGTAAAGGCCCTAAAAGATTGTGTTGATTGTCTACTGAGTTAGAGGTGTCCAATACGAGATCCATGACACTGAAACGCAACTAAACTGGTCAGCCATGACAGATCCATCCCGTAGCAGTCAACCGGCCTTTGGCTTGAAGGGAATTTGGGCGTAGCAGTCTATGCCTGCAGGAAGCCAGGCAGAATCCTCTAGAGGCTCCAAACTAGTAGCATTCTTGCTCCTAGTAGTAATGCCAGGAGCTACTAGTAGCGTCCTTGCTCCAAAGGCATCTTGGTATTTTTGTCTATAAACCTTTTGAGCGCCTGAATAACTATTCTCCAAAATAAGAATAGTAGCGATGCCCTTTGCTCCTAGTAGCGTATTCTTGTTACTGGGCCCCCTGGTTAGAACCTGAGTTTGCCTGCCCTGCAAATTTCCGTTGACAGTGGTTCGGGGGTTCTGCCACCTGCCACTTTGCCCACCAGCAAATCAAAACCTGAGTAACGCTTCATTTAATGAGTCCATGGCAAACCCTGAAGGATTCGTTGAAGTATCTCTCAGCGTTTTGTAGTGTCTGCCCTGCACATTTTGCGTATCCTGCAGTGAATGACACATCAGTGTGAAACATGTAATAACATAGAACCGGGCCCGCGAAAAAACGGCGCCCCACAAAAAGACCTTGGTCGGAGCACTTGGTCAGCAGAGTTGAGACAACCCATCGCCCTGCTAAAAAAAAAGAACAACTACAACTGCCCGGCCATGGGAACTTGGAGAATTTCGGAGATGAACAAAATGTCTAAAACATTCTAAAACCAGGGACTGGCCAGGAGGTCCACATCACCATGAGGATCTTGCAGGAAGGAACATATCTAAAACTGTCCTGCAAGATCTGATTCACTCTCATCATTCTCATCATGTCGTCACAGTTTTGCCTATCGCCACATCCGGATCTGGTCGAAACCTTTTGGGTCCTTCTTGGACTCAACCCCGCCCGGGCAGGATCAGGACGTGTGGTTGGTGTTTTCCACTCAATTGAACAATATTTTGTCGGTGGGTTCCAATCATCCCAAGTACAGCTTGAACATCAAAAGTCTCCGAACCCCCCCGAGATTCTTGAACCCTCGCTCATCCAGAAAAAGTAAAATGAACAACAACTGTGGCCCTTGTCTTCACTGGGTCAAAGCGCCCCGCAGGCTCAGGGCTCCCAGCTGCTTGTGATGATGCCACAGATGCCCACAAAAGCATCGTGCGTCTGGTATAGAAGTGACCTGCTTCCGCGGAGGCACCCAAAACAGGGTAAATGCACAAGGACCACTGGGGGGAGTACCAGGGCCTGATCTGGGGGAGAAGCACAATGATCTCCTTTTCCAGCCAACAGTATAGAGATAGCAAAGGAAGAATGAAAGGAAAATGGATCGATGTTGTTCTTACATGTCTTTGAAGTATTGAAGTAGCAATGTAAAGCCCACTATGCGAACCTAGAGCAGAAACACCTGGGCAAAGCAATCACTTATATATATATATAGGCGAAATCAAGAATGATATTTTAGAGGAGGTCGTCAAAAACAGGACACTTCTCGGAAAAAAGGTGGCCTTCAGGTCGTCATATGATGTCATATGTTGCTTAGTTCATCTTACTTCTTTCCCCGGAAGGGTCCCACTTACACTGAAAGAAACTACATGCAAATACTCTGTGCCGCCCCAAACACCGACTGATGTGCAAAAACAGACCCCAAGGGCAGGATCTGAAGCGCATCCTTGACCGAACCACCGTGACCACCGTGTCCACTCTGACGGTCTGCGTCTGACGCCGTGCTGAGGTCGCAGCAGATGTGAGGTCTGAATCATCAGCAGTGAATGCTTCACCACTGCTTCCCAACCTTAGGCACCCCTTTGCAGCCACTCGTTTTTCGGCTATAGAGGACTCTAGAGACCCAGGAAAAAGGCTTTAAGCATCTTTAAGCAACTTCACAGGGCGACCCCCTTTATAGGGCCTAGGATGATAGGTCGGATGAATCCTTTGAACCCTTTCTTCGGAGCCCGTCCATTTATCGGAGCCAATCCGGGTGGATCCTTCAGATCCTTTGACATTCTGGCCATTTGGGCCATTGGAGACTCCAGACCTGGGCCAACACCACCCCTCCCCAAGCTCACCCGAGGATGTTGGGTCGACCTCATGGTGCTTCTGAAGACCCAGAAAACCATGGTGGGCTTGGGGTGAGCTAATTCAGGCAGGATTCAATGTCTATTAGCCGTCGTTTCTTTCTACTGGAGGCCCTGCCTGCCCGCCCCCCCCTCCATCATGTTCCAGACTTTGGACCCCAACTCGAGGGCGCCAAGTCGAGGAAAAACTGCTAAAAAGGATCTGAAAGAGGCCAGACTGGCAGCCACTGAATGCCAGTTTTGTGTGACAGGCACGGTGATTTACCGTCAGAGTTGATCTATTTCCCGCTGGCAGCCAATGGTGAGCTTGATCGAAGATGTCCCGCAGTTCCCTTGGGCTTCGAGCACTTCCCAAGTTGATCCCGTTTTTCTTCCTGGAGAGGCACATAGGAAGAAACACTCGTCGGTGCATAGCGGTCAGGCATTACAGACTTTAGTAGTGGTTGCAATTTGGGAAAAATATAAGTGATACCATGGAGATCTATTGCAAGTATATGTAACCATAGGTATATGGTGTATCACTTTGTATATCATGGTACAAGATTGTTACACCATAGCAATCCATATCATCAGACATACAATTCTGAACCAATTCTGTTAGTTCCTCTGTTTTCCCGACAACACTGATAACAGGCAGGTACAGTCTTCTACATGGCCACTTTCCTTGGAACAATTCAGCTTCCAACTCTAAGTCTTTTGCAGACTTGGAGCAGTTCAGAGCAGTGATTTGGCCCTCTCCTGTAGGCCTATCTCCTTAATCTTCTTGAGGTTGCACAGGACCTTCACAGGCCGAACGATTCCATCCTTCGGATTCGTTCGGATCCGGGATCTCAGCGGACCAACCGCGACATGGACGAGTCCCATCGGCCGCCCAGAGCGGCGCCCAGAGCCGCCGCTCCGGAGTGGTTGGCAGACATAACGAGTCGTCCGAACACCACGCGCAGTCAGTGAGTTTGTAAAGATACACCACTACTCATCAGATGTGGACAATGGATGGACACAAGGTTCCTTTGCAGAGGAAAGTGGTCGAGTGCGATTGTCCACTGCATGTCGTTCAAGAGCAGGTTGGTCGCCCTTTGCTGTTAGTCGTGCCAAGAAGTCCATGATCGATGGCCAATCATCAAGTATGCAACGATCGCAGACTCTGCGAAAACACCACAAATATTGTTTGATCCCTGAATGACAAACCTGAACACTCTACATCCCCAAAAATCACACCTGCTATCATCACGGCTGAACATTCACATATGGACTTTGACCCATGTGTCTTTTTGTTTCCAGGACCCGGTGTTTTCACATGATTTCATCTGTTCCCCGGACGCTTTCCCTGGAGGCCGCTGTGCCCTGGAGGCCGCTGGGAGGCCCGGCCCCTAGGGCATTGCAGAAGGTGAAGATCCTGAGCGGACGGAGGTCGTTCTGCCCATGGACGGAGGTCGACCCGGTCGTTCGGGTGCTTGATTTAAAAAATAGAGGACCTGGCGCGGCCTGAGGTTCAAATGAAATATATATTGCAATGTACCAGTAGATCATGTTGAGACTTTCAACCCATGTCTTGGAGGTGGTTAGTTTGTGTTGGGAATCTCCAGATGTTGAACTTCATAATACGAGTTTGCTGAGGAAAAATTATCTGGCAAACATGGACCAAGAAGTTGGATCCTGACTTCACCTTGCTGCTCAGAGCTCAGGTGTTACCTTAAGTCGCTTCCTGTGTTGGCTCTCTTCCCTGTCAGGCTCTCTTCCCTCGGTCGCTTGCTGAGCGCTGCGTCGTGGCCAGCGTCGCCTTCTTACAGCTCGTGTTCTTCACTATAGAGTTCAATAGAATCTATATATACATATGTATAGTTATATAACTATTACACCAGCGTAGACCCCAAACAGTTTTTTCGCATTTGTTGTCCGTTGAATTCGTTGATAAAAAGCAGACAACCTTTCTGCAATGCTGCAAAAGTGCATTGGCAACATCACGCACACACACACACAGAGACACCCTGGCACGGCCCAGTAATCGATGTGCAGGTCCCTTTTTTCTTCAGGAGAGCTCTGTTGGGTTCGAAAGGAATGGGCGTAGAAAGCCGGGCGTCAGGCTTTTCGAGGCTCTAAGCTGGTGCGATCCGAATCCAAAGGTCCACATCAGCTTGTCACATTATTTTTCAATAAAAATTGTAAAACCAACCACTCCATTTCAGGCTCCGATCACGAAAGGGTGCTTCCAGCTGCGCATTTGCAAAATTCACCAGGTCCTGGCAAAGCAGGTCCAGATTCGGGTTTAGATAGAGATCGTCACAGATACCTAGACCTGACCTGAAACAGTTAGTCCACAATTCTGCCTGAGAAACGCCCGCGAAATCTGGAGGTTTTTTACTGAAGTCACCGAAAGCATCTGTCGATTCCTCCGCGTTGCGCACGGGCAACGAAGAACATCTCTCATCATAACTTGAGCAGCTCCAGGCTTCGTCGGCATCCAGCTGCCAGGAAGGTAAGTTCAGAACAGGAAAGCAGCCGTTGAAAAAAAAGAGAGCGACTTGGAAGACAGCTGGACTGACGCCCAAAGTCCGTTAGTAAACTGCTGTTCCTGGGGGCCCCCGGCACGGCACCATGTACACCACCACAAAGCAATTGGCTCAGGCAGGGCTGTATACAAGGAACCTTGGGCCCCATATTGAAAGTAGTGGAAGTTCAACAGCTGCATCAACTGGTTCAGAAACACGCGCTACATGCGCGCGGCCCCATATTGAAAGTAGTGGAAGTTCAACAGCCGCATCAACTGGTGCAGAAACACGTGCCACACGTACGTGCAGGTGCGAAATTGCAACATGCAGGTAGATCCATTTTTGACATCCAGCGCACGAATTGATAGGAGAAAAACAAACGATCTGAGAGCAGGCCATATACACCCCTTTCAGCACAACGGCAGACACGCTGACCAGGGTCCATGCCCAAACGCTAAGATAGCAAAACAAAACGCCAGTAATCCATGTCTGGGAGCCAAGCTACCAGGGACTTGACAACGAGCCGCGAAAGAAAAAATGCCCTCAACAATGAGTGACAGTCAGGGCGAGGGTGAGCCGTTATGCTGCTATGCTGCTGATCTGATGCACGCGATGCAAGGGACGTAGTGTTGTTGCGCTGCTCTGCGGACGTCACGCAAGAGAGGTACAACAAGGTAAGCTGAACCGCGGGGGAGCCGCCGAGAGAAATCAAAGGGCGCGAAGACTCTGGTCCCAGCCACAAACTCGCGAAGGCAAGAGTAACTCCAGCTAGCTCTTGTTGGCTTTCCTGAATAGGAAAGGTTTAAGAGCTGAGAGCAAGGTAAACCAAGTGGCTAAGAACACGGCAGTCAAAGAAAGTGCTGGCTTTGGTCATTGGTCCGCCTTCAATGCCTTGAAGCCGCAAAAACTGACACCGGGGGGCCGCGCCGCTGCTGTGCACAACTCCACAGGCTCTAACCAGGTTCACTGCGCAGGCGCTAAAACAGCAAAATAAAACGCAGGCAATCCATGTCTCGGGGCCAAGGCGCAAATAAAAAGGGAAACACTGAAAGCTGACAGCAGGGTACACCAAGTGGCTGAGGGCGCAGCAGCCAAAGAAACCACTGGGGAAAGGGCACACGCCAGGAGGCCGCGCCTCCTCTGAGTACAACGGAAGAGACTCGGAGCAGGTTCAATGCGCAAGCGCCAAAACAGCAGAATAGCATGCAGGTAATCCATGTCTGGGGGCCAAGGCGCAACAGAAAAGAACAAATTGAAAACTGACAGTAGGGTGCACCAAGTGGCAGCCGCCAAAGAGACCACTGGCTTTAAATTGGTTATTGCTCAACTGAACGAAAAACGTTCCGTCGCGCCATAGTTCGGCCCCTTTTTTGCGCACGCAACAGGCTTGAACTGACTTTGATCGCATAGTGTGTGTTTTTGCTCCCTTTTTCTTGTTCTCGTTTTGATGGCAGGTTTGGATTCATGCATTGAAAAAGGATAAGAAAGGCCACTTCATGTACCGCCACCAGGTGCCACCAGGCACCTTACAGATGGACCGCCACCAGGGTACATACCCTGATCGTGGCGAAAAACTGTGTCGTAAGAGCGAAAGTGGAAGGTCGTCCTCTGCAGCGCGAAGAATGGATGTGGACGCTCCCATTGACCTGCGTCAAATCTGCGTGAAAGCTGAGCCTGTTTGGAAAGCACAACCGAAGGCAAGTTACTATCCTTCCAATTTGTTTGCTCAAGGGACGTTTAAAACTCAAGCTCTCCATGTTTTGTTATCCAATCACATCAGCGGCAATCTGAGTTGCTCCGGCAACTGCCGAAGGTATTCCAAGCAGGTGCAAAGGTCCTGCTCCTGTAAACAAAAAATATTTTTCAAATGGTCGTGTTTTTGTTATTCTTCCAATGTGCTTTTTTGAACACATCCTAGCAGAAAAGGAAAAGACTTGTTCCAACAATCGGCGTGCGTAGCGGTAAGACCACCTCATGGTAGCCAAGAGAAATGCACTCGCCGTCAGACCTTGAAGCTGAGCTAAGCTGCGCTTGCATCACAAGAATGAGGAAACAGAAACCAAAAACACAACCTGTTCAACCATCGTTCCATGGAGGAGAAGCTTGAGACAATGCTTTGTCGCCATGGTCAATGACAAATGCTCTCGGGACGTGGAGAAAACAGAGACGTTTGGAGGAAGAAGCACGGGGAGTGCATCCAAGGCCTGGCAGCAAAATGTGGCACAACAGGAAAAACAGGAGATACATGGAGATAACAAATTTGTCACGATTAAATCCTGTGGTATGACAGCTATACTCTAAGAGTGCCATTTGGAGTCTATCAAGCAGCCTATATGCCGACTTCTATGGAAAACAATTTCCTAGTAAAAGTCGTTGAGTTGTAGGTCTGCCGGGGAGTGCTGGACTTCTTTCCCAAATCTCGACGTTTGAGGGATCCGCTTCCATGCCTCCAATCTGGAGTATCTTCACCTTGATCTGGACCTAGAACCGCTGGACAAACCTTGATATTCCATGTTGATTGACTCTGAGACCTAGCTCACCTACACCAACCGGGCACTTGACCGCCCGCGAATGTGCTTTGGCAAACTGCAGCTTCAATGGCTTGGTCCCCAATGGCTTCGTGGCGGATGGCCTGGTCTAAGCAGTTCAGCCGAAGACAAGGTCTATGCTGCGGCAAAGCTACAGCATGAAGAAACACCATATTATGTCGTCAAAACCGTGGCTTTGATCCAAAAATTAAATCCCGTCCTACACACCCCCGAAAAAATGCTGGAACCGGAACCCAACCGCAAGCACCCAGCCTGGGAGACAAATGAAAGGAAGTGGAAAACAAATGCAAGGAAGTGGGAGACAAGCCGGCTGGGAACCGGACCACAAGCACCCAGCCTAGGAGACAATGAAAAGAAGTGGGAGACAAATGAAAAGAAGTGGGAGACAAATGAAAGGAAGTGGGAGACAAGCCGGCCGGGAACCCGACCAGACCATCCAGCACAAAGGCGGCCATTCTTTAAAGCATTGAGAACCCCTAACAGTAAACTGTTTGGGGAATTATTCTTATATATACAGTATATCTATATATATATGGGCCTTAAGGGGCGTGTGCACTCAGCAGCTGTACTTAGCCTATTTCTAGTGGACAAATACCTTGCATTCACTAGGAGAACAGCGTGTCCAACACGTTTCCTGTCATCTTGCCGACAGAAATCCATAAACACATGACTCAGAACGCGTGGTACAGTAAAAAATGAAAAAATGATCTAGCATCAGTTTCGGAGTTCTATTTTATAGGTGGAGGATGTATCCTTTCAACAGTAGGCAGTAGGTCTATATGTAGGTCTTCTGTTCTCATCCATCAGAGTTCACGGCAGTGCAGGGCGGCTGCTGGCGCAGGGCTTCGTTGTTGCTGAGCTCAGCACTTCAAGCCCAACTGAATGGTTCCAGTACCAGCCCTGGCCATGGGTCCACTGCATCGGATTGACCCTGCAGGATTTCTAAACCACGAAGACCAGAAAGCTCAATATAAGTGCTTCATAAGCTTCATAGCACCCTTTGGCCATCTTTAACCCTGACATCGGATGAAAACGAAGGGCAACTTTGGAGTGCACAAAAGTCGATCTGAATAGTTCTTCCTCAGTCCTACCACATCCAACCAACTCCAACCTCGTGTGACAAATGGTGAGCACCTTGAAAAACGCGGTCGACAAGCTGAAAAAACCTTCAAACCCTGAGCGGTTCCCCACGGAAGCCATCAGAAGCTAGCAATTGATCCAAATGCATCCAAATGCCAAGAAAAAGACACAACAAAACACACTAAACACACTGAAAACGCAAAAATAAAAAGACCATAAAAGACCTCCATTTCTCCCCTCGTTCCCCATGTGCATTCATCTCGACTCGTGTCACTCGCCGCATCTCGCCGCTCTGCGTTCGGGGCGGCCCCGAACTCAGCTCCACCGATCCACTCCCAGAGGTCTGGTGTTCTAAGGCCCCAAGTCTAAGGCCCCAAGTCTTCTGAGGTGGTGTTGACTTATGTATATATACACTCCCGAGTCAAAACCAACATGGACCCGGGTCGAATGGCACCCTCAAAACCTGCTGTTCCTCTACAAACCAGTGGTTTTCAGGGTCTATGTTAGTTTTCAGTGGGGTATAGGTGGTGTTTAGTCCCTAAGTCAATCTAAGTCGGATGCTCACTGGGCACCCCTGGGCACCAGCTGAAGCTGGATAGCACCCGACTCCAAGGAACAACTGTCTCCAACTGGGCAACATCGAAGTCATCTACACTACACAACACTGTTGCAAACATCTTTCGAAGCCTTCCAACAAAAAATCAGAACCTCTTAGGACCTCTTGACCTGAACAGCAACAATCAGTCCAATCAGCGGTCACCCATGGTCACCCGGCTGATAGCCTCTTTCCACCCGAAAGAATCTTCCACTGTTTCAGCCTCGGCGCGGCACACGGATTTCATCGGGTTCCAACGGATCGAGATGGACGAAGTGAAGAAAACGACGTGGAGAAGCGTACCGCTGGTTAGACCCTGTTTCTCTTTCAGCTGCGCTGCAGCTAAGATCAATCAGATCAACTGGAAGTTCATGGATAAGGAGGTTTTGATCCACAGCATTCACAACTATATACAAATATGCATCTCGATCTGGTCGGCCCTTCCAGTATCCCACATTTGGGGATCACCTCTTTCAAGGCTCATAGACACCCCAAACCGCCCAAGACCCTCGTTTCAACCCGGTCCCGGGCATACCAATGTGATCGGTGATCAGAAAGGCGATCAAAGACACCTCGAGATCGGGTCATGGCACCTCTTGGCCGTGGCCGTGAGCCTTTTTGATCTGTTTGGGGAAAGAAGATGCTCTAACACTCTCTGGAACCAATGGATGGAAGTGGATGGCATGGAAGATGACCATTGTTCGAACAGAACAGGTGATGCCATCTACGTCCGTGAATACAACCGATCACCCTAGGCGAAGGAATGTGAAGGATATAGGCTATATTGGATATCGCTTGCGGTTCTGTTCCAGGCGGTGCGTTTTGCCTCGGAAATCAGATTCCAAAGGACCCGGTTTACCAAGCTGTTACCCTCCCTGAAACAATCACTGTTACGTGGAAAATGACCCTTGGGAAGATCATGTTCCTCTACAAACACGGGATTGTCCACGTCCATTTTTGTTGGAGAGGTGGTAACTGTATGTAACTGTCATATATTTTCTTGAGGTGAGGAGCCTCTTTGATCGGTTTTATGCAGGAACACTAGGAACCCTAAAGCTGCACTTCACTTACTCAGATAAGCCATAGTAAAATTATGCAACATTAAATCTCCCTGATGAAGGAGACTATGAACCAAACATTCGAAAATGCAGTATATAGTTCCAAACCAACAGCTTGAATCCGTAGTGTCAAATGTATTTTCCTTGATATGCTGTGTGTCTTCCAGCAATCTGCTGGAAGACATGTTCGCCCATGCCTCCTGCACCTACCACCAAAGTCCAAAGAATCACCAAAACATTCCAGGATCATCCAGTGTGTGGCCTGTCGCTCCATCCGTGGGCCAAATTAACCCCCGGCTTTTGGGATGGTCCTAGTAGCAGCGATAGCAGCGAAAAAGCGTCTGAGTGATTCGCTCCATCCTCGATCTTTGGTTTGAAACTCTTCAGCCCGAATTTGGATTCCATTCAGTGCGGGACTTCCATTGCGGGGAATCCCCTTGGACAGGCCAGCGGTGGGCACTGTGCATTGAAAGAAGCTTTTTCAGTGGATCTCATTGATGAGTGAGGAGCTGGATTGCCAAACCAAGGTAAACCAAGGTTCTGAATTGGAAAAGAACCTACGTAGCGAAATCGGCATCCAACTCAACCAAGGTTCAACCAAGACGAGACTACGGATCCCCTAAACCACTGTTTTTGCATAGATCATTATAGATCCAAACGGAACATGTCTTCCCTTCTTTTTGGCGGGGATTTCTGGCCGTCTCTTGTATGGTCAACCTTGATCATCTCCCACCTTCCCACTCCTCTTCTTCGGCTCAATCTTCGCGTCACCCCGCAGGTCGCCCGGTCGTCTCGTGGGGAACGCGCCTTCTGGAGGACGTCCAAGGCGAGGTCCAGGGGGTCGCCGATCTTGAAGGACCTCGGACCGAAGGATCGAGCCGAGCCGACGTGACTCAGGGGTCGACGGTGGAGCTTCTGCCGAGTCCGGTGTGGAGGTTCTTTTCATAGGGTGCCCTGGGCCGCACCAAAACGCCAAAACTGCGCGATGTATCCCAGTAGAATGGCCCAAGTGGACGATGAGTCTTTTGTTCGATGTTTTTTCTGAAAGACGTGTCCCCAAAGTAGTGATCATGCTTTACAATGCTTTACAGACTGTGGCTGGCTTGCTGGGATACAACCTAAATATGCAGCGCAGCGAGTGATGTTGAGATGAATGTTGCCACCAAGGAGCAAAGCCCTGAGCCAAGGCTTGTCAAGATGTCTTTCTTGATGTATCAAGCACAGAGAGTTGTCACACCAATGTGAACCTTCGGTCGCCCAAGCACAGTCCAATGGATTTGCAAGGTTAAAAAGGCTTCGGTTAGGTGTCTCGTGCACGGTTTTGGGAGTCAGTGGTAGGCCCTCAGGAAAACGAAGAGACCGACCACGGTCGGTGCCGAAGATTGTTTTCTTCAGTTGGCGCCAAGCTGCTGCGGTAAGCCTTGTATCACCGGCAACTCCTGAGCCACAAGTCTTCAAAACCAATGAAGTGGACCCGGAACCAGGACTATAGTAGAACTATATAAACCATATAAACCAGGTCCAGGACTAGGACTGTAGAACTTGCAAGGTGGTGCTTAGAACATTTCAAGAATAAAAAAACGAAAAGGTGTTGATTGGGGAGCTTTTGAAGGGCTCGGAGACCAGTCATTCTTCGCTTGACAAGACTTGACGCTTCGAGAGCTTCGCAAGTTGGGCCACAGACAGCGAGAGACAGAGAGAGAGAGAGAGAGAGAGCTAGAGCTTGAACCATAACTCCCATGGCAATGTTGGAAATATTCTATTGTAGACAGAATTGGAACCAATCTATACCAATCTCATAATGTTCTTATGTTACACCCAAACAAAAACAGAAATGGACACCTCAGTGCTTTCGTCTTCCAGCCAGACCTGAAAAGCACCTCTCGAAGAACGCCAATGCAGTGCAACCCACGGCATGTAAACTTACCCCACCGTGCAACCCCAGGAAAAGCAAGTAGCAAAAACACATGAAGAGATGAGCAGCTGGCACTGAAGTAACAATCACGGGTCAAGGAAAAATAATAGCTTGTAATTAATTTCATCCAAGCTTTGGTCCCCGATCATATGTTCCATGCTGAAATCACCTCCTTCCTCCTTTCCTTTCTATGCGACACCTAAAGCAACCCATCTCAGCACCCAAGAGGAGCGGAATCAAACCTGTCACCACCGTGCTGCACCACCCGGTGGTCTCTCGTCTCCTTCATCCAGCGATGTGTTCTCCGAGCACTGGCCAACTGGACCATCACAGTCCTGTGACGTTTTCCGGTGAATCTTCCGGTTGTCGTGCTGGAAAGTTGGGTTGATGTGACAATGGGCCACCCAATGAGACAAACTATTTGACTTCCTTTGATCATGTGACTCACTGTTTTTTGGGGGGGTGACTGGTATTTACCTGTTTTTTTTGGCACTGCACAAGCCCAACCAAGTCCAGCGATTTTATCGTTGTATGCCACGTTCTGCTGCAATGCTTGGGCCATCTTGGGTCTAATTTCTCGGGCCGTCGACCCACAGGGATTGCACCTGCATGGGAAGAACGACGTGGACCCTGGGAATTCACCCATGGTTTCGAGCATTTTCCTCCCAAAACAACCTAGGACCTAGTGGTTTTTGGGGGTCCTTGTGAATCGAACTCCCAGGTCCTCCATAATCTACGCAGAACAGCGCAGAACAACTGCCAGAACTCCTCCCAGCTACGTCGAACGCGCAGCTTCGGCCTGGCATGGCCTTCCATCCTTGCCAGGAGTGTTCCAGCCTCGTCTCGATACGAAGTTCCAGAATCGAATGTGGTGGTTCACGCGGGTGTCAAGAAAAATCGAATGCTTGGGCCTTCGGCCAAGATTTGGGCCATGAATTCCAACTTCCGGTGGTCCAAAAACTATCCCAAGCTCCGCAATCGGATCTCAAGCTTGCTGCCACCTGTAGGAACTGTCGTGGCTGTTTCCAAGACACCGGTGGGGCAAACCTCGGGAGACCTAGGCTCCCCGGCCGTGGGCTGCAAAAGGGCAACGCTGCCCACCAAAAGACGTGCAGAATACTGGAAGATACGCGCCAGCTTGTCCCGGCCCTGGATAGGGCGTGCCGGTGCTAAGACGTGTGAGAAAAGGAGCTGCTTGAAGAAGTGGACTCCACTGGATCGGAACAATGCGTATGCTCCATGCATTTCTTATATAAGGATTCATGAGACTATAAAAATGGTGTTCTCCATTGTTCTCCAACGAGGTCCTTTCTATTCTATCATATTCTATCCCAACTATCAGGACAACCTTTTGATCCCGAAAATTCTGGCCTTAGCGCCTTGGTGGATTGGTTTGCTAAATTTGAGACCTGGACCATCCAAGGTTCTGAGATGGACTCAGTCTACGCCCAGTCTGTGACCCCCGTGCATACAGTAAATGGTCCGTTCGACAGGTGGTTTCCAAGCTGTCCCACTTGACGGTCGTTGGTTGACCCACCCCTGCCTCGGCTTTCTGTAGCAGGCCATTGAACTCCGCGATGGACATATCCTCAGGTGAAGTTCGCCCAGCTTTTCGAGAATCCCCAGCGACGCAGGGGTCGCTGCAGGCGGGGCGGGACCGCCGTGAAATTTTGTCTACAAGCTTCAAGGAGTCCTGGAGCCCTTAGAACTATTGATGATACATGACATGACTCAACTCAACTCGTCTCTCCTGTTTGCTTCGAATTCGACATGACACTCTGCGGGCCGATCTCAGGTCTGACGTCGACTCTCGTGGGGTCGATACACTCAGCGTCCGACGCCCGCCACGCGGAAGGGCTTCATGAGAGGTTGCATCATCATCTCACACATGGCCTGGACGTCGAACCACGCGCCGGTTCAACCGATCGGCCGATCCTCGCGAGTTCCGGGGGTCCCTCAAAGCGACCGCGAGTGAGTTCGTCCCAGGGGTTGTCGAGAGTTGAAGGCTGAGTGCAAGAGGTCTTGGAGTACGGTGGTGATCCTATACTTCCTGAATATCCTGAATCTTCCTGAGGTATCCAGCTAAATCCAGCTATATACACCAGATTCTTTGCGATCCACTAACCCAGTCGTCACCACACCCCATCACCATCCACTCGTGTCACCCAGGCCATTCCAAAGGACCCAAAGTTCAAGGTCATGAAAATATCTCCAAAGCAGTGGGCCATTATGTGTGTTCACCTTGGAAGAAAAATAAATAAAACGAAAAAAATGTGTCACCGTCACATGTTGTATGCACATCCTACCAACCACTCCCCCAAAACCTCCCAGCCACGGCCCCAACCTCCGTCCCCTTCCTCACCCACCGAGGGTTCGGAAACGGCCACGGTCCGCGCCCACCGTTTGCGTGTCTTCTTGGAAACGTCTGGAGCCAAGAAACGGGCACCAAGTGGATGAACCATCTGTGAAGTCGTCTGGTAGAGATGGTGAAAGAGCTTTTCTGGTGATCAGGACAACGCCTGGGCCCTTTTTGTGGCAAATACTGTCCCATCTGAGCGAATTCAAGCGATTGTTGGTTGGGTTCAAAAGGATCCTCCGTCTCTTCTCTCCAGTTTTTCTTCACCCTCTTGCACCCCTGGAGCTAGCTGGAGCTCGCCATCCCATTCTGCCTCTGTCAGCTAGCCAGCTTCAAATCCGAGTCACCTGTTTTGCTCAGCTGGACCAAACAGCCTCTCCCCCAAAAAATAATGACTCTGAAGACCTGTGAGAGTCACTCCATGAGAAGCAAGGGCCCCTTGGACCCTCGCACCTGGCCCTCACCCTCTCTGCTCCATCGAATGGGGTGCAAAAAAAAGAACGCTGTTGGATGCATCTGCTCGGTCGATCCAGGGCGAAAATATCGGGTGAACGGGATCGGACTGGGAGATCTGAAAGAAACACAAAACCGGACTGGCACAAAAAGCGAGAGCGAAGTGGCGAAGTGTTGTGTTTGTACCTCTGTTTCACCACTGCAACGGATGCAACGGAATTGATAGAAATGGCATGAAATGTCCAGCGCGATAAGAATTGTCCTGTCAAAGCTTTATGTGTGAACGATGCTGGTAGAAAACACCCGGCCGCCTTGTCAACTTTGGGTAAAAGTCCAAAATAGTCCAAATCATCTGCAGCGGGGGAAGCACCTGATTCTTTAACAGCAACATTCTGCACCTTCTTTCACCAGGGGCAGCACCCCAACAATTCCCAGCGGCGCAGCTCGCTCCGCCGGATTCGTTTTTCGATGTTTCACGTTTTGCACGAGATCGACTGGCGAAGCCGTAGGGTCCGCTGGGCGCATCTTCCGCCGGTGCAGTTGAAGGTGGTGCTCAGATGTCGATGAACTTCAAGTTCTTGAAATCTCCCACCTGCCAGGATTGGTCCCCTTGGATTGTGGAAGCCGGAAAGGCCAAGGGAGATTTACCATATGGAGAATAGCAATCATTATAAGCAAAACCAAGTCCAACATTCACGGAATGCGTTCAATTCAGTGCAGGTCTATCATATCTGGGTGGTGCAGCAGCTTGTAGCTCCCACTCGTGGCTGAGGCTCCAGCCACCAGGTAAGAGGCAGGCAAAGGCGGCGGTGCCGGGCATAGAAGCTGCAAGGCCTGTTCTTCCACCTGACCGGTTTCCGCAGGAAAATCCGATGATCGTCCGGGGTCGTTTTTGCGGTGGGCAATGGAGCAGAATGGAGCAGTTCAGAACCCCAAAAAGGGATGTGACTGGCAAAAAGACTCTCAATTTGGACAAATGTCTTTGGTTCCACCACATGAGCCTGACTTCTCACCGCTTTTCACGAAGTATGAACCTGCACTGATCCCTCTCTCCGCAAAAAAAAAAGTTCATGCCGTTTCAATCCTCGCCACCATTGCCAATAGTTGACGGACGTCGCCCAGTCCCGCCCGTGCGGGTCTACGTCGTCCACGCGGTCCGACGGTGCACTGGAGCCTTGGTGACCAGGACGAGACCACACATCGGCGCATAGAGGACCTCCCGACAGCCGCAAGGTGAGCTCTTGTTTTCCTCTCCCCGAGCTGGTTGGGAGTCAAAACGTATGGTACCGGTCATGTGATTCATGTTGCTTTATATTCATGTTGATATTTCAACCCCCCTAAAGCCTGAAGAGGCTTTACCATCCATGTCTGGTCTTAGTTTTCAGTCTAGATTCTCAACCAGGCTTCATTCAAGGTCACCTGACTGGACCGGTCTCTACACCGCCTACACGACTTAAGGTCTCCAATTGGGCACCGGAAGCGCCAAAACGGTCTCCTACTGGCCATCGCTAGGGTGGAGAAGGGTCTCTCCTTCTCCCTTGCGGCCCCTTGCGCCTTGGAACCTGACGGAAGCCTACTTGCTCATTGCTCCGGGAACCTTGTGGAAAACGTCCCTGAGTCCCTTGGTCTCCTCCCTTGGCCACTGCCGGGACCCAACCCGAACGTCTTCGCTTCCGCCGCGGCTTCCGCGCGCCTCGTTCATGCTGTTGGCACGGACCTGCGGCACCGTTCAGGGCGCCCACTCGGTCGGAACTGGGGAGGATGGGTTCGGGTTCCAAGTCGACGGGTTCGATGAGTCCTGCCCTATGGCGTTTTCAACTGCTTCGTGCCCTTCCGAAAGCTCAAGATGAACTGGGAGCCAAGGGGAGCCAAAGGCATTTGGAGATGAGCTGGTCCTTTCAAGTGGACATAGAACCCAAGGCACTCCAACAAAAGTGTTGGGTTGAACTGGGAGGTGACTGTGGATGGAAGTGTGGTTGATTTGGGGTGTTTCGCACTGGGCTTTGTCTGTGTGGATGGTATTGAATGATGTTGTAGTCGCTAATGTACGTATAGTTATAATATTCATAAAATAGTAACTTACAGATTGTAAAACCTCTTCAGGCTTGGGGGGTGATTAACTATCCTCAGTGCCTGCCATACCTTGTTACCCCAGCGCGGGGCTCGTAAACTCCCTACGCCGAGATCCCTGCCCCGCAGCCGCGCAAAAAAGAACCGCACCACGGCCAGCAAGGCATGTTCCAATTGCGAGACTTGGCCACTGAAGGGCCTCACCTCAGCGACGCCACGGGTAGGCGAACGATGATCGTCCGAGAGGTGAGAAGCAGGTGCGAAGTAAGTGGGGAGCGTCACGTCGATGTGTTCGTCGATCTAGAATCGCTAGAAAATGCTGGAAGTAGATGGTGCACAAGTTTGCTACCAAAGTGCTGGATCCACCATGTACTCAGGAAAGAAAGGGTGTGAAAGAACTCATCTATGAGTTCCATGCCACAAACACACAGTTCACGAGTACCGGAGCATTCTCCACAGGAACTATTGCCTTCCAATGATGCAATATCAGCAATTGTATGCAATTGTGCAGAATGGTGAGCCTTTTGATGTCGTGTAGTATATTGTAATGATGTCGATCCTTAGTACTTTCATCTCCTCTGGATCTTCATCATCTTTCACCCACTTCAGATCCACTCATTTTCTCCTTTTCCGTTGCGCAGCCTCGGCTGGCTGACGCGCGCCACCGCTCCTCACCTTTGGTGAGGAGCGGTTGGCGCGGTGGCTCCTTGGGAGCTTTGGAAGCTCAAGTGGCTCAATCGGCGGTGTGCAACCAACCGGAGAATCCCAACGACGACACTCACATGGACGTCCCTCCGTGTGGACCGTCGTAGACGTGCGAACTGAAAGGTGCTAGCTAGATACATGCATCTTGAAAGGACACTGGCAAAAGACCATGAAATCAAGAAGGAATGCACAAGTGTTGATCATGACTGCTCCTTTTCACTCCGATCGCTTGAGGAGATATCAGCGGCGATAAACCACCCAGGTGGAGACACACCCTCTGATTGATCACCCACGTCTCCGCGTCTCAGGCGCTCTCAGACGCTCTCATGGGACTGCTCTGGCAGAAAGCCGCCACAGACCTGTCACAACAAGTCGGTTCATGGGGAACAGCTCCAGCGTCGGAGTTGGGGAACAAAGGAGGTGCCAAGAAAAGGTGCTATGCTTCAACTCAGGTGCTCACCTCTTCTGTCCTCTCGATGTTCTTACAAAAAATCCGCCAAAATGATACCAAAAGTGCATTGTAACAGGAACCGCAGGCTTGCAAGTGGATATACTGCATATATCACGCATATCACATATAAATGCCAACACGCTGTCACCCTCTATGAGTGTTTTTTAATTGACCACCCGCACATAGTAAGGGAACCCCGTTGTGGGGAGATGTCTCAAAAACCCCTGAAAATCCTATCGCAGCACTAAAGCGGTACAGCTGGGTGGTGGAATGGTGGAAATGGCATACCAGGAACTTGGCCCATTACTAGCACATCCCGTCATTCACATGCCGCTTGGGGAACTCCCCGACGGCTCCCAACCGCTCTCTTCATGCGGAAAGATGGATATCAGCCGCTGCCCCAAGGCTGGATGCTACGGCACGGCTGCTGGGCGGCCCGGGCCGTGCGCGTATAGGAGCGGTGAGAGACCTTGGAGATCTCCTGGAACCTCTCCCGGAGCTCCGGGGAAGACTGCCAGAGCTTCTCCTTCATGATCCCAAATCCTGCACATGCGCGGAGGTGGCCGGGGCGCGCGCCGGGCGCCCGACGGTTTTCGTGGGCGGGGCGGAGCCGAACTTGCTAGTGCTGGGCACCCGAAACCACTGCATTTCTTAGTTCTTCAAGTCTCATCCCAAGTCTCAAGCTGCTACCACCGCCATCACACCACCGCTCCACCTCTGCACCGTGATGCACGAGGCCGGTCTGATTCTCACCCCCCCCCTCCCCGACTCTGGCCGGACACACCCGCCGGCCGCCCAGGGGTTGAAACCCCTCCGGCCGGCGGTGTCCGCACCTGGAAAGCCCGTGCGGATGCCCGAGGAGGACCAGTAGCTGGCGCCCAAAGGGTCCGTCTTCTCTCGCCCGGCAGGCATCCAGGGCGGCAGGTCCCGGTCCCCTGCAGTGAAGGACGTGTTAAGGACATCATCGAAGTCCGGGAAGGGTGCCAGTTGGCCAAGGTGAATTCACATCAAGAGTCGCATCAAGAGTCGCCAGGGATCTTCTTCTATAAAAAATAACCAGAGCATGTCCCAAAGGTGAGCTCACTCCATCCCCTGCCCATCGGACTCATTGCTTGGCGCTTCCGCGGTTCGCCTCCGGGCCGCTGCAAGCGTTCGCCCCGGACCTTCACCACCCGCCGTTCCGGCATGGAGGGCACCGCACAAGGCGCGGACGCCAGGTCCACGTAGACGCGGCCGAACTCGTCGGCTTGGTCCTTCCGAGTGTGGGAAGAGAACGAGGGTGGTGAGTGGGGTGTGAGGGATGAAGACGGAGTTGAGGGATGAGTGGGTGGGAGAGGGATGGATCGGATCATGGTGCGTGTTCTTGTTTGTGCTTCTCTTTTCCCGGGTCCCCCCTGAGTGATCCAATTTGTGATCCTCTGAACCGGTTCCCGCCGCAGGCACGACCAATCGCGCTCCGAATCGCTTTTCGCCCCCGGCACCGCGCGGGCCGTTCCCGCTCCTTGACCACCGTGCCTACCAGGCCGTTGAGCTCCTTGCGACGCGACAAGTTTTGGATCACCACCGCGTCGCCCAGGCGCCAGTGCTGAGCTGGCTCCTCAAAGGGGAGGGAGGCATGAGGGTCGTACAAGATGTGCGTGCTGCGCACGTGGAGGCGTGAGGAAAATGGCACTCTGCGAGCTCACTCAGGTGTGCGGCTAGCTCACATTGCTTGGAGTTCAAGGTTGCGTGAGCAGTTTGACGTAGTTTGGGGGATGTTTTCGGGCTACTGCTGCTGGATTGGGTCCTTGAATGCTCTTGATGGTTCTTGACCAGAGTTTTTTGGATCTAAAATTTCCTTGCACACTCTTGCAAGCAACCTAATCAATCACCCGCAGGCCCCTCTTAACCAGGAGCTCCTCATCGGCAGGACCCTTCTCAACTTCCAACCGCAAAGTTCATGCACTGTGGCATACCATGCACTTCAACCACCCCGCGGCAATCTGAGAACACGTCTTTTTCTGGGGCCCTATGGAAGAAAGTTAAGGACCTAGGCGCATCCATACTTCCCCAAGGGTCACCACAATTCAATGGGTACACCGGCGGATGAAAAGAAACAGAGTTCATCGAACATGATCCAAGCACCTTGACACCTTGACACCTTGAATCACCTTCGCACCCTGCATGCCTGGCACACAAACCCACTAGAGTCCACTAGACATCATACTTGCCAATCTAATGCCTATGAACTAAAGCCAGAAACGAGAAGCCTAGAGACACACTCCCTGGAATCATCATGGAAGTGGACCAAAACACCTATGCCGATGCCTATATATATGTTTGCTATTCGGAACATGGCCATGGGACAGGGGTCATGTTATCCACTTCCATGATGATGCCAGGGAGTGGAGTTCTTCCTTCACCAGCTCCGCTGACGTCATCTGCTCCTCAAGACCTCGGAGCACCAGCCCTGGTCGTCGAGGAGGTGGAGCGATGAAGGCCGAAGCACGCTTCTGTCCTCGCAGCATCTGCATCTCGGCCGCTTCGTATGACATGTAGACTCTTGATGAATCAAACATGGATTCTAAAACCTCTTCAGGCTTGGGAGGGCTGAAATATCATCAAGTGGATCTACAGTACTCCCCATTTGGAGTGTAAAACTTCTTTGTCACAAGGGTGCTTGATTCGTTTCAGAGTCGACACTAAGATCCTTTCTTCGGCTGCACCCCATCTTACACCGTCCCGAAGCCCTTTGACCTGAACCCAGGACCCCACAGGACCCGTCCGTTAGGTGTCGATATCTTGTCGTGGATCACTCGCTTTACCAGTGGAAATGGGAAGTTTGAGGCTCGCGAAAAAATGAAAAAAACCTACAATCGAATGGGGATGGGGGATCATGTCCCTCTTCCACCCGAAGTTTCAAAGCGCACCTTGTCCGGTACAAAAGGATCGGAAGGTGAGATGCTCCTTCTGCTGCTGGTCCTTCCGTTGCCAGATCCGTCGACTGCTCCGATCCGTCGGCAGTTTCTCGTCGGTGCCGATGCGAACGAAAGAGGTGAGTTCGGTGTGCGAAAAGGTGCCTGAGCTTGTGTGAGACAAATAGATAGGATCAAATAGAAAAAAATACATTTAAAAACATACTTTAAAAAAATATATATATATATATGAAAAGGTGAAATGGTGCAACAAGACATCTCACTTCGCTCACTTTGCAACAGGTCAGTTTCTAGGTCGTGTGCTCTGTCATGTCGAAGAGCGATGAGACTTCAGCCCTCCTTTTCAAGGGTCTTTCAATATACCAACGTTGACCCCAAACAGTTTGCTTGGTCCAGGTCCAAGTCCAGACAAGTGTAGAATCATGCGGCCACAGCACCCACAAAGGACTGGAGACAGAACCCCTCACAGGCAAACCTGTTTGGGGAAAGAGACAAACTCTCCAATGCCTGGACCATCGAAAGGGTGCCTAATGGAGACCTATAAGTAGTGTATATAATTTGTGTTGTCTATTGGTGACCCGTTGGAAGCAGCTGGTAGAGATGCATTTCTTACATGTTGTCTTACAAATCTCCAAGATGGGCCTTTTGTTGGACCTTCGATTCTACCACCCTCTGATTTGGCCGGTGCCGCAACCGGAAGATGGCTCTTCCCAGGCGTTCTGTTGGCGTTCTGTCTTGAGGTGGGTAGACCGGTTGGAATGCCCAGGAAAACAGGTGTATTCTTCATCTCCCACTGACTGGAGATTCAGGCAGGATTCAATGGCTGAATTTTCGGCCATGACTTTCTCCCTTCCTCCCATCCTCATCCTCCCAGATCCGTCGCTGTTTCAACCCGCAGCGATTCGGGGTTGACTCTTGCTGCGTGAAAAAGCACGAGAAGGACAAGGAACTCTGCTCTTTCGAACAGCGACACCACACGAAACCGCTTGATTTGGGTGTATTCATTCTCTGTTCATCATGCTCCAGAAGGATCTTGGCTAGAAACAAGCGGAACCATGCCACACGGGAACAGGGTTTCCCTTCATTCCAAGTATTCCAAATTCCAAGTATTTAAAGGGAATGGGATTGAGGTATGACTGAGGACCCCTGAAAATTAAACTGTTTCTTGGAGTTTAACGATGCATGCAAATTGAATTGTCATGTTTTTCCAAGGATGAATTCGGATGACACACGGTCCAGACCACCCAAATCGAAAACGGGGGCTCACATGGTGTCTCACACAGAAAGGACTCCACACTGCAAGGACTCCAGCGTAGATGCGAAGGAGCTTTCTTCCCACAGAGGTGCTACTTTTGCAGCGCCCCTTTGTAGATCCACGCTGTGTGATTCGACTTGAAGGAGTTGCAGTCGTAACCCCCGAAGTAGATGGATCCTTCCTTGCGAAGCACCGGCTTTGGCGAAACACAGAGTGACTGTGGAAACCCTATGGAACCTGAAACTCTGCAGGGAAGGAAAGTTGTTGAGGCAGCGTGTCTCAATAAAAATACACTCGAACCCTGGGCCTTAGGTGGGATCTTCACCCAGAACTCCTATGGAACAGCTGACAAAAGCAATTTGGGCGCCAAGTCCGCATCTGAAGAATCCCATGCAAATTATTGGCGGTCCACCGGAGGTGAATGGAAAGCTCACTCAGCTTGGACTCAAGTCGATCTGTTTTCAGAACCCATCTCATGATACATGCCCCAAGCAGCCCCAACCCATGCATTTCATCCAGGGTTGGATGTTTCCTCGAGTCATCTTCCATCAATGTGAATTCAGGCCCTTGGAAGGTACCCCAAAGATGCCGAGCCAAGATACCACATGCAACGTCACGCCAACCGCTTGCATAATCAACAAGAAGTTCGGCCTCCAAAAGTGCCAAGAACGCATTCTCGACCCAAATCGCCACCCAGACACCTCCTGACATGCCAAGACTTCAGCTAAGCGTCCTCCTCTGGAAAGGGGCTCACTTCAAAGCAGCGAACGGCCGTTAACGGCCGTTGCACTTTGCTGCCACGACCCCCCACTTCCAGGACCTCAGCGTCGCGGCGGCGTGTCCCATTTGCGGGTGTTTGTCAGCAAAACCGCTGGCGGTGGCAGAAAAGGCTTGCGGTGGCAGTGGTTTCAAAACTGGTGGTGTCCCCCCCCTGGTGAATTGGAACCCCCAAAAACATATCTACAACCTGCACGTGTCCATCGTGGAATGTCTTTGAGAGACATCCATCACTTATGATGAATCGACCTTCCACCAGACAGATCGACCGGTTCGACCGTCGGAGAAACCCCGAGCACCGCTTGCGGCGGGCCGGCGATCGCTGGCGAGAAACACTCGACATGGTTTGGGGCGATCAAAAGGCGAAAGAAGGAAGTCAACTGATCTTGAACGGGGAACCAACAACTTCTTTTTTGCTACAGGCGACAAGGAAAACAAGCAAGATGAATTTCCTCCAAAGAGGGGGTGTTCCCTTCTCAGTTTGTGGAACCTCTTGGTGCAAAGCACCAGTTCATCTTTCTGCACGTTTTCTCTTCAAAAAATATCGTTCTGAGCGCAGCCCAGGGAACATAGTAGTCATTCTCCGCCACGCGCACGGCGAAGCCACCCCCTGCCTGATTACAGGCCACAATGCATTTGTTCAGCAGCAGAAAGAAAATAACAATGAGGATCACAATAGAAGTAAAATCAACAACGCTCCGATGTGCATCAGAGGTGCCCAGAAGCCTTTTTGATTGGGGTCCCTTCCATGTACTTTGGCTTGCTCACCCAGATAGATTTCGAAACCAATCAGATGGCAAGGCGAGCCCAGAGAGGCTGGCAACATGTTGTTGTAGGCCGCCAGAGTGTAGTGCAAATCCTGTGTGCCCAAGTAACTCTTCGCCAACCTCCTGAGAATGAAGATCTCAGAACTGTTTTCTCTCCACTCAGCACTAAAGAAGTTCAGCAACTCTTGTGGGGGGTTAGTTGGGAACAGAATGTTCCAGTCGGCGGGCATCAACGTGCTTCGTCCAGAGTCGATACCGAAGTCTCCATGCCTGCTGCGAAGGGAAAAAGCATGAAAAGCCAAAAGAATGGTTACGGAGTTGTGATCACCTGTATAAGGAAGGATTTGGGTGACCTTGACCTAGTTTGCAAGCATATCCACGAGCTGAAATCTGACTTTGAAGTGAGTACCAGACAGTTCCTCTTCAAACTTTCATGTCGCTTGGTGAAACCTACCGCCCCAACCGGTCCAAACGCCCGCTCCGAGGCGAAGCACCTCACGCTCCACGCGGCGCCACGCTTCACCCCACGCGGCGCCAAGCTACCGTGGAACGGTGATAGACGTTTCGTCTGACATAAAGCAAGTCATCCACAAAGAACGGATAAACCTATGCGATATAAACGTTCACCCATAAAGGGAAATGTGACCAAGTCTGGCCATGGGGGTTTAACCGCACACAATCATCTTTGAGCATATTAGATACACATCAAATATCATTCAGGCACTTATAGTAGTGCTTTACAAGTAGCCGCTGTGATTTTTGAGGTACACATCATTTAGCTCTAAAACAGGCTAAAGCCAAACTAAGATTACCTAAACAAAACTATATTAAGTTAAGGTTTCCTTTTTTGAAACTAAACCAAGCTAAGAAAAACCAAGATAAGCTAAGCATAGTTTTTGGAAAGTTGTTGAAAGTTTCATCTACAGCAATTCTTTTATCCAAAGAAAATCAATGAACTTTTTGATGTTTTGCACTTTTAACTCATGACACGACAATGTAGCACCATAGAAGGCTGTGTTTGTGGTATGGCAACCACAATTAAACCACAAATGTACCAGCACAAAAGGCTGTAGATTACTAGGAATAAATTAGTCTGAGTTAGCCTGTTTTAGCGCTAAAGTTGTCCATCAGACAGTCTAAGCAGCCACTTGCAAAGCAGCCACCTATGGGTATGAAAGAAAATACATAGAACATCATAGAACTTTCGTACGGCGCAAACATTCCGCTGCTCCTTGTTAAAGGCTTCTCCCCAACTCGTGGGCCCCTCCCGACCTGCAACCTGATCCCTCACCAGGCGGCCGAATGGACGTTTCCTCCACCGGCGGCTGCAAGGCTCCATCGGCGCCCGAATCGGTGCGCAGAATCCAACTCTCCGACTTGTCGTTGGGGTTCCAACAGAAGAGGATCGACTCCTTGGGTTGGAGGCCATCCGCTCTTAGCATGGCCTCCTTCGGACGTCCGAGTTTTGACTTGTTTCGGATCCACTTCAGTCGATCTCGACCAAAAGGGGGGGGATGGGAGGAGTATGAGTTTTGGGGGGAGTTTTGGGGGGTTGATGGTAGGGAAGTCATGAGTTGTAAGATTTGAAGGGGGACCAAAGTTCAAGATTTACCTCATGCTGTAAAGCAGAACAAAGAAAAGAAACAACAACACTCGCCCTTCGTCTTGAGGTCTCACTTCTACCCAGGCAGGCACCTGTGAAACCTGGGGGCCGGAGCAAAGTTATCCAGAGACGCGCCAGCAGCAGCAGTCGTTGACACAAAGATGAGTGTCTGATAATTTATGTGTTTTTTGGTTGAAAAACATGATACAACCCCAAGCTCGGGGAATAACATGGAATAACCTCTTTGGTCAAATCTCCAAAGAGTCATCCTGCCATAACTCCTGCCATAACGTCCTCATCTCAATTCCAAGCATCTTTGGTCGGATCCGTCGGGCAGCTGATCGCCGTCATCCCCCGGATGCCGCCCACCGCCTCGTTCAGCGGCCCGTTGGCCGAGCGGAGCTGCGCAATGTCCAGCACGCCGCGCCACACTGGCTGCGGCCCATCAATCCGCTGAAGGATCCAAGAAGCACTGGACATGTAGAGCTTCCTCAGGTGCTTTCGGTGCTTTTGTAGAGCTTCCGTGGGGTCGGGAGGCACCAGGTTTGAAAGATTCGACATGTTGGCAAGGGATGGAAAGACGAAGATGAGCTTCCCGAGTTGGTCTCTTTAGAAGGGCGTTCTCAGTTGAGGTCCAGGTCATT